AAAAAATACTAGGTAAGTGCTATCCATAAAGACATACCACTCTGGTAAATTTGGATCACAGATAATAGATCGGTTGCCAGATAGCGGATGGGGATACCTGTCGCACAAATGATAGTTTTGGCCAGAGTATAGGTAACCAAGTTTGAGCTTGGTGTACTTAATATATATAAATACGAAAATATAGCAATACATGTAATAAAAGTATTAACAATAAATAAAGTTATAGGCAAGATCCTACCTGAATACCAAAAAAAAAAAAAAGTAAATTTTTAGATGTTTCAAAATTTATAAAAATAGCTGTAATATATCAATATAACTTTTGCTTTTTTTATTTTTACATCTAATATTTTAGTGACTTATTTTAAAATTTTGACTTATAGCTATTATTATAAATTATAAAACAATCGAATAACTATTCTAGTATTACTAATCTAAAAAATTTTACTTACTAATCAGATTTCAAGACATATAAGTTAATTTAAAGAATTATCTAATAACTTTTAATTCTCTGATTTATTTTGAATAATTTAATTATTAAAGGTTTATTTTATTAAGAGGATTCTAATAAATCCAAAATCATTAAAATCTAATTACAGAATTCAGAGATAGTTTAAATTTTATATAATTTTAATAATAAATATAAAATTTTTAGATAAATATTTTAATCTTGAATAATATTTGATCTACTGATTCATTTTGAATGATTTGACTATTAAAATGTTTATTCTAATGAGACAAATTCAACAAGCCCAAAATTATTAAAATTTAATTACAGAATTCTAAGATAATTAAGAATTCATATCCTAACACTCACAATTCAGTTCAGTTACCAACTACCACCAAACGTACCCATCCAATATACACTTATTCTTGCTTATGCAAGGAACCTGATCAACTACATATCCACCCTAGCATTTGTCCACCAGTTGGTCAAGCAAGGAAGAAATATTATATATGGTCTAATCGTTGGGTAAACCACAGCATGTCTTTAAACTCTATATTATCTATCTTAATCTAGGTAAGTCTTTGGCTACTCTAGTAGGTTTAGGTCACGGATAAAGTAGTCCGAGCTTTTATTCTTGCAATATAGTTTTATTTCTATTTGTACTGGTACAAATTGTAGTAATTATTTAGTTAGTTATTGCTATATTCTTGGTGCTTATAAAACTATCAATAAAGATATGAGCAAGGCCTCACCTTAATTCTAAAAAAAAAAAAAAAAAATTAAAAATTCATATCACTAGCCAATCATATGAGAGATGAATTTTATAAGTAAATTTACATATAAAATCCATCTTTTATATAATTGACTGATGATATTAATTCTTAACTATCTCAAGATCCTATAATTAGATTTTAATGATTTTAAACTTATTAAAATCATCTCATTGAGAATTTTGGTAGTCAAATTATTCAAAACAGACTAGTGAATCAAAGGTTATATAAAATTAAGGAAAATTTTAAATGGCAACCCTTATATAATCGGCTAATCACATTAAAGATTGATAATCATATAAATAGGGTGAGCCGGATTAGGATAATTCCCTTAATCCGATCTGATCTAGATCTCGGTTTGTTTTTTTTTTTTATTTTACATATTTTATTTTTTTTTTATTAATTCTATTCTTCTTCAGCACCGGCGAACATTAAAAGGCTTTTTAGATATATTCCTTTTTTTTTGCTTTTAGTTGTTTTGTTTTAAAGTTGTCTTGTATTCTTTTTTTTTTTTGCTTTTAGTTGTTTTGTTTTAGAGTTGTCTTGTATTCTTTTTTTTTGCTTTTAGTTGTTTTGTTTTAGAGTTGTCTTGTTTTACTAACCTTTTTTTTCTTTTTAGGTTTTGCCGAACATTGCTTAACACTGAGCAAATGTGTATGTGGCTTTTCGGGTAAGGTATTAAATTTTTTTTTTTGCTTTTTTTTTTTTTTTTTTTTAGTTTGGTTACTAACTTCTTGGAGTATATTGGCTTTCTTTCTTGGAGGATATTAATTTTCTTTCTTAGAGATTTTTGGACATGAATCAGCACTGGAAAAGCATGTATATGGTGTTTTAGAGTAAGATATTAATTTTTTTCTTTGTTTTCTTTTTTCTGTCTTGTTAGCCTTGTTATTAATTTCAGTTTTCTTTCTTGGATTGTTTAGGCTTCATCAGACACAAATCAGCACCAGATAAATATGCGTATGATATTTTGGATAAGATTTTTTCTGTTTTTTTGTTTTTTTGTTTTTTTCTTGTTAGTTTTGTTACTAACTTCTTTTTTGGGATTTTAGGCTTCGCCAGACACGAATCAATATGCATATGGTATTTCAGGTAAGATTTTTTTTGTTTTCCTGTTTTTTTGTTTTTTTTCTTGTTAGTTTTGTTACTAACTTCTTTCTTGGGGTTTTTAGGCTTCGCCGAACATGAATCAGCATCAGGTAAATATGTGTATAGTGTTTCAGATAAGATTTTTTTCTTTGTTTTTCTGTTTTTCGTTTTTTTTCTTGTGAGTTTTGTTACTAACTTCTTTCTTGAGGTTTTTAGGCTTGCCAGACACGAATCAGCACCCAGTAAACATGCGTATAGCGTTTCGGATAAGATTTTTTTTCTCTGTTTTTCTGTTTTTTTTATTTTTTTTTTCTTATTAGTTTTGCTACTAACTTCTTTCTTGTATTTTTAGGCTTCACTAGACGTGAATCAACACTGGGCAGGCGTGTGTGCGGTGTTTTCAGTAAGATATTAAATTTTCTTCTTTATCTTATTAATCTTGTTACTAATTTCATTTTTTCTTTCTTGAAGGTTTTAAAGCTTTGTGGATATGAATCAGCACCAGAAAACATGTTTGTGGCGTTTTGAGTAGGTAAGATTAGGTTCTTTGTTCTTGGTTTTTTTTTTTTTTTGTTATTATCTTGTTCACTAACTTCTTTAGGTTTTGCTGAAGCACCGGTTGAACATTTAATAGAAGCACCATGTGAATGTATTCTGGAAGCACCAGGCGAACATGTAATAGAAGCACCGGGCAAACATGTAATAGAAGCACCAGGCAAACGTATCCTGGAAGCACCGAGCGAACATGTAATGAAAGCACCAGGCGAACATGTATGGAAGCATTAGATGAACATATATGGAAGCATGGGCAAACATAATGTAAGCACTGTACAAATATAAATGTTTTTTGAGTCTTTAAGACGTTGGATCGTTTATTAATTTTTTTTCTTTTATTTTTTTTTTTAATAGAATTCATTGGATTTATGATATCATAATGCAGTAATACTGATTAATAAATTTACTAACACCCTAAAATTAAAATATTTATCTAAAAATTTTAAATTTACTATTTTTTTTTTTCTTCAGCAATCCTGTTTACTTTATTATGGGAACAGACTTTTATTCCTACAGATATAAAAAATCTCAATCTATAAGTGTTCCAACTATACCTTGCAGATGTTGTAACATCTACTTACAGTCAGAGCAAACCATTAAACTGCTATGTTTTGCCTAGATGCAACCTGCCTAGTAACACTTGGCCTCTTTCAGAGATCTGGAACTTACTCCAAACTTATTTCTCTCAGATTTCTTGGCTGGCTGTTGCTTGCCTCGTCAAGATTTTCACCCTACAATAAAATGCTGCCAAACTGATGACACTTTCTCATAGAGAAGGAAAAAAGAAAAAAAAGAGATAATGGAAAACGAAAAAAAAAGGATAAAAAATAAAACTAATATATCAAAGAAAATGAATACTAATACTAAAGAATATAAAAAAACTAAACTAAAACCTAAAAGAAACTATCGCTAAAAAGAAGAAAAC